GCCCGTGAGCCGTGTCCACGCGGCGCCGGCGTGCGATGCGTGGTGAGCTTGAGCTGCCGGTGATGCTGTATCCGTGATCCTGGATGATTCGCACTGATAAGAGTTCACTTCGTATTCACACTGAGTCAGTTCTCGGATGAGAAAATGAGAAAGTCCACAAAAGAGCACTTGAGAACTATCCGCACTTCAAGACGCGTGTACTACGTACGGTCGCTATGAGACAAAGAGCCGCCGGTAACGTACGTGAAGTCGCGCGGTCGCCTCGCGTCGCGATCGGGCATGCGCGGGCAGCGCTCATGCGGCGCTGCACGATCTGACCCGGCTGATGCTGCCATCACGCCGGGGATGAAATAAACGAGATTCAAATTAATCTCGAACACTCACCCTGTATATGCAATTTCCCCTGTCGCTGGTCCATTCAAAATTATCGCTTCAATTATGTTTGTATGTATTACTTTAATCTGCAATCTAGTTCCATTGCATAAATTTGGTGGATTCAGGTTTCTTAATAATATAATTGGTGCTCCAACTTTTCCATATTATTCCATATCCAAGATGATTTTATACACGCTTTTACAATGTCTGCTCGAGTACCTTTTGCAATTACTGGTAAGGTCTGTCTGAAATCTCCCGCATAAACCATTGTTATCCCTCCCATTAATTTATTGCATCATTTTAGATCTCTTAAAGTTCGTTCAATTAATTCAATATGTGCTCGATGACTCATCGTGCATTCATCTCACACTATTAATTTTGTTTCTTAACTATGAATATAGCGACTTATGTTATATAATATGTGTTATTAAAAACATAAATTATCCTTTTCAAAAATTTTCGAAAAAGAATACACAATTTTTTATTTATTTTTGTTTTAACCAATGAAATATAAGGTTTGTAGTCTATTTATACATGTTATTCCACTATTTTTGTTAGAATAAATTGTGTATTTGTTCGTGTGCATGCGCGTGTGTGTATCTCTTTGCGAATAAAATAAAGTATGTGATCATTTGTGCAAGCGCAAATTTTGATCATTTGCGCAAGCGCAAATGTATTCAATGCGCAGTCCACAGGTGCGTAAAGGATCATTTGCGCATGCGCAGTCCATATGCGCAAAGGACCATTTGCGCATGCGCAGTCCGCAGTGTGTGTGATCATTTGCGCATGCGCAAACACTACAGGTGCGCAATGTCTATAATATATAGCCTAAAACACTCCCGAGATGATAAGAAAACATGTGTTAAAATTTCAATTCAATCGGTCGATTGGTTTCGGAGATTTGCGGACACAAACAATCAAACCGACAAACTCTCTGTCTTTATAATAGTAGTATAGATATCTTTTATACACATACTAGTATCTGTAACGATATTACATATAATTTATCATTAAATAACTTCTTAACATAATGTATATAAGTTTTAAAAATACAAGTAGATAACATTATTATTATATTATATTTACCTTCTTTATCATTGTACATATTTTCCACAATTGATGTTGCGCCTTGTGTATCCTTATGTTGTATTACGGAATTCTGTATTATTATTTTTGTATTATTTGTATTATCAATATTTTCTTTTTCATTTATAGCATCTTCAGTTAACTAAAAAGTAAAACTACTAGCAATATTTCAATATTATGCAAAAAATTCATAAATTTATAATTTTTATACGTACATATGGAATAGCATCTTTTTTCAATTTCCTGTAAGAATGGTTCGATTCATAATCTTGTTCCTTAAAATGTTCCGAACACACAGCTGCTGATTTTGGTGGATTATAATTTTGTATGTTTAGTGACTCGAGCCACTTTTGTTTCCTCTCTATGTTTTTAGGAAAACTAAAAAAAATATTTTATATAAATATAAATATATCATCTACCCGACAATAAAGCAATACATTTGAATCACTAAGATTATAAATACATAACCGAACATAACCTACATTTTATATATTTTACTTGCATGTGGAATGAAATCTTCCTTTTTTTTCTTTTTCTATTTGTTCATGATTTTTGTTTTTCATACGATTTGTACAACCGGTTATGATACAAAAACTCATTTTTGTTGTAGCGTGATAGCACTTGAGATGTTTGATGCTTGCGAGATAATGCGATATGCGGCTAACACAACGCCCGAATATATACGAAACTGACCGAATGTACCCGAAATGCCACAAATGACTCTCTTCACTCCTGATCAACGACCCCCCTCGCCCATCGTGACACCTAACGTTCCGTCCATATATTCATTACGTCCATGGTTGCAGCAATCACAAGGGTAAGATGAGTCGCCCTGATGCGTCGTCTGATGAGCTGCCGTCTTCCTTGGCGATGATGATGATGAGCTGGGGCCAGGATGAGCTGTCGTGGTTTCGATCCGCTCGAGAGCCCGTATCCGAGTGCTCAGGAACTCCTCGAGCTTCTCGAACGTAGGATATTCGCGCGTGGCGCCAATCGCGTTCTCCCATTGCTCGCGTGTCACGCGATCAAGGAGTCGCGTGACATGATAAACCACGGCGCAGTCCCCGAGCTTCTCTTTGATCTCGAGGGCCTCCAGTCCTTTCAGCGCCTCCTTTACCCCCGAAACCAGACTGTCCAAGGCTGCCGCTTTCCTTGGCACCGGGGTTGAGCTGGCGAAGATCTTGTCAAGGCAGGAATGAATGAGCAGTCGTTTATTTTCATACCTGTCCTTGAGAAGATCCCAGGACGGCGTGAGCGAGTCTCCGGCCATTGAGAACCCTGATATCAGCTGAGCTGGCGTGCCTTCCACCGACGAACGGAGGTAATGAAGCCTCTCCACGTTCGTGAGCTGCTCGTTTGAGATGATCAGACTTGAGAAGAGATCTCGAAAGGCAGGCCATGCGGCATACTCCCCGGTGAACTTGGGGAGTGAGATGTCTGGCAAGCGTGAGTGCGTCTGTCGGGTCTCGCCGGCCGATGAGCTGGTCTGTGGTTGAGCGGGCTGAGCGGCTGCCAATGCGTGGCGAAGCACGCCGAGGACTCGTCGCGCCTGCATGTAGCACCGCGACTCTTCCTGATGAGCATTCTCAGCGAAATACTCGTGGTGAATAAGCGCCGAGGGCCATGACATCTCGAAGTAAGCGTGTTCCTTGATGAACGCCTTGTGCGTCTCCTCGATCAGGAGCTGAAATTGGCTCACTTCTTCGAGGGATGTCCGTGCCGGGACATCCGGCAGCGACTCTGTGAGCTCCCTGAGCGACGCGATCCGGCCCATCTGCATCCGGACCTTCAGCGCGAGCTCCGTCGGAAGCCGGGCAGGAGACGTCGTCCTCCCCGACGTGCGGTCTCCCTGCGGCACTTCCAACACCGGGGTTTTCGGGCGGTCCGTCTTGCCCGTTTTTGGTTCGTCCGCCATGAGGAGAGTTGAGAAGTCTCGCCGCCGATGAGCTGTCACGCGAGAGGATCGTGAGATCACGTGATCGATGAGTGAGACCGTGTATATGTGCGCCGCTGATCACGCGAGAGGGGCGCGAGATCACGTGATCGATGAGTGGGACCGTGTATGTACGCGCCGCCGATCACGTGATCGCTGCGTGGTTGAGCTAATCCGTCCGAGAGCCTCGCCGCAATCCGGCTCGAAGGACCAAAAATGTTAGCGATTCTCGCTAGGAGAGTTCGCTGGTACCGCTGCGGATGGAAGCAGGTTGAGAGGACTTAGCGGTAAGAGGCCCAAGGAAAGAATGCACGCGTGAGAGGGTGGAATATCACGTGATCGTAACTCGGATCGTTTTGAATAAAAATACCGTATCACAAGTTTAATAATCACAGTATGCTTACAGTTGAGGAGTCTATGAGTATGACGGTAATGAAAAGTCCTTAATCACTTGCACGGTTCGATATTATTGATCGAGAGCCGGCCTCGTGAATGTAGATGCCCGTGAGCCGTGTCCACGCGGCGCCGGCGTGCGATGCGTGGTGAGCCTGAGCTGCCTTGATGCTGTATCTTGAGCTGTCCTGGATGATTCGCACTGCTGAGAGTTCACTACGTGTCCGCACTGATTGTCAATCTTATAATAACTGTGATGACAATTCTTCGTGCAATATTGAAAATATTCAACTACATAATTCTTTATCATCATCTTGCAAAACATCTTTATCCAGTTGTGAACTTACAGATAATTCTTCAATAACATCACCAGTAACTTTTTCTCCTTCTACCTCAAAATCATCTACAGATGACAAAGAAAATATGTACGTGAAAAGAGGGGCAGCCAAAAAGAGAAAAGAAACATCAGTAATGGAAGAAGCAGTTTTGGCAATTAAATCATTAACCAATCAACCTATACCTGCGTTTCACAATGATTCAGTTGAACATTTGGGAAACTTTGTGGCAGCAAAGTTACGAGAAATGCAACCCATTGATCGTAAGCATTGTGAGGAAAAAATTATGAAAACTCTTTTAAATTATTAATTTATGAAACTATAAATAGTACAAAATAATAGAGTTCTTTTTGCACATGTTACATTTAAAAATATGTATTTTTATTTTTTAAATATATATTATTTTTATTTGTCTAAGAAGTACAAAAGTTTAAGTACAAAAACTTAATACCATATAAGATGTTATTAAAGTCATAAGATTATTTTATAAGGATAAATAATTTTTCTTTTTCAAATACACTATAAATTGAAAATTATTTTTAATATGTTAAAAATACGTTAAAGTGTACTATTTCATTGTTATAAAATCTAAATGTTTAGATATATATGTAATCACACAAAAGCTCTTTGCAATATGTATTGTTTCTTTTATAATAAATTTTGAACTTATGTTGTATAATTGCATATTTTATTTCTATTTACACCAACATTTTTATAAAAGAATATCAAATAAACTTACTAACTTAGGTACCTAATATAAACTATGTTAAGCAGAAAAAGCAACTTTGCAAATTAATTAGGGCCAGTTTCACAAACGTCGGTTAACTGTTAACCAAAGTTCAGTCAACTCCCTATCTTTTTCTATCTTATTACCTAAGATGAGACAGAGAATCAGTTAACCTTTTGTCAGCAGTTAACCGAGGTTTGTGAAACTGGCCCTTAGTGATTCTCTTACATAACAGATGTTTTTTCCTTAAAATTATTGTTGAAAATAGTTAAAAAGTGCTTTAAACCATGTTGAGGCGAGCCTCTCCTTGTCTCGTGGGCTCGTCTAGAGGCGCCGTATATGAATAGGCACCTGCTTATTTCCGAAGGTGTCGGGGTGATCAACAGACTCACGCGTACAAGTTAGACATACTTTATTTAGCGTTAGCTCTTCGCGTGGCACCTTCACGTCGGTTGCCGTACAAGACTATGTAACTCTAGCGCCCGGAAGCGCCTAACAGTCCCGGTGAGCGGAGCGCCGCCACCGAGCTGACCAATCAGCACGCAGCGGAACCGGTCTTATAAAACGCATCAAGAGCGGTAAACACAAATGCCTAAAACGCCGATACACCGCCGCCCTTGAAAGCCTCAGGTTTCAACTATATATGCATGTGCAAAGGCAAAAAATAAAATATGAGGATGAATTTAAATAGTGCACGCGTTCCACAATTTGACGCTTCAGCGAGTCAAGCACCATGGCCTTTACACATAATAACGCTTATTAACTATAAATAACGCAAACGGTAGTGACTATAACGTAGTAAGATATATGTTATGAAGAACTTATGTATTTGGATCGGTTGGCAACACAGATAACTTGGTCAAGGGTCGAGTAATTAATCCGTGATTAGTTTTAATGACTGCCGATCGGACGATGCCATCGACACTCTCGTTAACACTTTCGATGCGGCCTAACAACCATTGAAATGGCGCCAAACCCGGTTTTTGAATCAAAACTACTTGTCCAGCCTTGATTTTTTCCCCTTTATTCATTCTCCACTTTGATCTACCCTGCAATTGGTTTAGATACTCAATGCTCCACCTCTGCCAAAAATGCTGTCTCAATTGCTCGACCCTTTGCCAACGCGAAAGACGATTGATTTTGGTAAGAGTAATATCCGGGTGAGCATAACTGTTTAACGCATCTCCTATCAAAAAATGACCGGGAGTCAATGGGCGCAGGTCGTTCGGATCGTTCGATAATTGACTGATGGGACGGGAATTCAATATAGCCTCGATTTCCGCGAGTACCGTCGTCATTTCGTCATAATTCAATGCTGCATCCCCAATTATCCTTTTCATATGATATTTCGCCGACTTTATGGCGGCCTCCCAAAGTCCCCCGAAATGGGGCGCGTTTGGTGGAATATTTCTCCATTCTATTCTATGCTCGACAAAAAATTCGTTTATCTTATGCTGTATCTGTTCCTTGATAAGGAAATCGTGTAATTCGTTAAGCTCCCTAGCGGCTCCCACGAAATTGGTTCCGTTGTCGGAGTGCATACACGCGACCTTGCCCCTTCTCGCTATGAATCGCTTAAGAGCTCCCATAAAGGACTCAGAAGACAAATCGGCAACTAACTCTATATGCACCGCCTTAGTGGCGAAGCAAACAAAGATACAAATATACGCCTTGCTTAATTTCGCATTACGCCTCTTATGCTCTCTAATGAGGAACGGACCTCCGAAATCGACTCCGCAATGCGTGAATGGCCTTGATATTTGAACTCGCGATTTGGGGAGATCGCTCATAGTAGCTTCAGGCACAGAAGGCTTAGCCTTCCAACATACTGTGCATTTGTTTATGACATCTCGGGTGGTGGCCTTTGCCGCTATAGGCCAGAACTGACTTCTAACTGCGTATAGAGTCGCTTGAACTCCGGCATGCATATTCCTAACATGTTCGTTTCGGATAATGAGTCTTGTAATCGCGTGATTCTTAGGCAACAATAATGGATGTTTTGATTCGTATGCTAAATTCGCGTTCTTCAAACGCCCGCCTACCCGTAGTATATGTTCGTCGTCGAGAAACGGATTTAATGGCAATAACCTGCTGTTAGTAGGTAGAGATTTCGACTTTTCTAGCTGCCTTATATCGCTGCCAAATTCCTGCCGCTGCACGAATTTGCATAAAAAATGTAACGCTGCTTCATATTCCTTCGATGTTATTGTCGCATTCCTACTTTTATTCTTGCGTGTGGCCTTACAATTATTAATAAATCGAAACATATACGCTACCACTCGTACTAACTTCTGAATTTTTGAATATTTGGCAATCAAGGCATCCAACATTGATGATTCCGATTTTATTACAACGGTATTCGCTAGTAGTTCCGGTAATGCATTACTCTGAACTGACGATTTGGGCCAATCCTCCTCGTCTAACTTTAGCCAACCAGGCCCTTCCCACCAAAGCGCTAAATTAATAACTTCCGAAGGGCCTGCCCCCCGAGAAATTATATCCGCGGGATTTGATTTGGTATCTATATGCCTCCAATCTTCCACTTCTGTCAATCTTTGAATTTCGCCAACTCGGTTGGCTATGAATGTTTCCCATTTGCGCGAGAAGGCCCTTATCCAGGACAATGCTATCATCGAGTCAGTCCATAGGAACTTCTTGATGTTTGGAATTTTTATGGACTTGATCACCTTTTCTTGTAATCGAGCCAACAATACTGCCGCACAAAGCTCAAGGCGGGGAAGCGAGACCGCCTTCATCGGAGCCACTCTTGATTTTGATATCAATAGCTTAGTTTCGTAATTTCCAGCTATGTTTCGAGTCCTAACATAGCAACACGCGCCATACGCTGATTGACTGGCATCCGCAAATCCATGTAATTGTATTTCTTCCGCATTTGCTTCAGAAAAGATGAACCTTCCAATCTTCAGCTCGTTTATGCTGGGCAGCTGCGACTTGAATTGTTTCCACTGCGTGTGTATATTCATAGGGACGGCTGAGTCCCAATCTATTTGATTTTTCCATAACTCCTGGATTAGAAGTTTTGCTGTAAGTATAACAGGACCTAAGAGACCCAACGGATCAAATAATTGAGAAATTTCGGCAAGCATTGTCCTCTTGGTAATCTTGTAGTTTGTTGTGTTGACGTTGATTGTGAACTTGAATGCATCTTCTGAAGAATCCCACTGCATACCGAGTATCCGAGATTCTGAGTTCTTGTCAATTGTGACATTGTCCAATGGTGAGGATGGCTGCGACAACTCGCTTAACAGCTGAGGATGATTTGCAGACCATTTGCTTAAAGCAAATTGACCCGACTCCAAAATAGCTATCACTTGATCTCTTCTTTTGATCGCCTCCTCTATGGAATCGCCTCCCGATAACACGTCGTCCACGTAAGTATGATTTTCCAGTACCTCCGCTCCTAGGGGAGAACTGTCTTGGTTGATTTCAGCCAAATGCGTGAGACAGCGTGTGGCCAAATATGATGAATTCGAAAGTCCATACGTTAATGTTGATAATTCGTACGTGGCAATAGGCTCGCTGTCGTTAAATCTCCATACGATGCGCTGTAGAGATTTTTGAGTATCGTCGACCAAAATCTGCCGGTACATCTTTACAATGTCTGCTGTAAAGACATATCGGAATTTGCGGAAATTTAACAATATTGTAATCAAATCCGGTTGTACAACCGGCCCTACTAATAACAAGTCGTTGAGCGAGAATCCGGAATCCGATTTGCAGGATCCGTCGAAAACCACCCTCAGTTTTGTGGTGCTACTGGTTTCCTTAATCACAGCATGATGGGGCAAATAGTACTCAATCTTCGAATTTTCTACTTCAGAATCGTTGACTGCTCGCATGTGATTCAGAGCTAGGTATTCCCTCATGAATCGTGAATAGTCGCTCCTTAGCTGTTCGTTGTGCTTGAAACGCCTTTCCAACTTGCTGAATCTTGCCAATGCCGTCTGCCGTGACTCGCCGAGCTGCTGCATTCCATTGGGCCTTATCGGCAACGAGACGATAAAGCGTCCTTGCTCGTTCCGCCTGACTGTGCGCGAAAAATGTTCTTCGCACCTGCGTTCGATGGGTGACATAGGGGTTTGATTCGTGGGTTCGCTGTCGAGTTGCCAGAATTTGGTTAATGCGCTGTCAAGATTCATTCTAGAATAATCGGTATCCAGCAACATGACATTCACGGAAGAAGCCGCTGCCCTTCCCTTGCGTTGATAGCCACCGCCGAGCCCACCCGCTACTATCCAGCCTAATTGTGTCTTTTGAATAGTAGGGCTCTTGATAGATGGCCTTATTTGCCCCACGCACAGTAACTGCCAAAATATGCCCGCGCCTATTAACATTTGCACTTGCGACGGAATATTGAAACGGGGATCTGCTAACTGTATATTTCTTGGAATGTTTATCGCTCCTTTATTTATGCGAAACCGCGGAATCGAATCTGTTATTTGATCCGTCACTAAGCACTGAATGACCGCTTGAAAGTTATTGTATCGGGATTTAATCTTGACTGTTACGATTTCGTTTGAATTCGTTGTTACTTGGTTGACTCCTACAATAGACATGTTGTGTCGCTTGGTAGGTATTCGTAAGGACGACACCAATTCCCGCGTAATTAAATTCGCTTGCGATCCACTATCGAGCAATACTCGGCACGGTTGTTTGTTACTTTCGTTATCAAAAACGTCGACTAATGCAGTAGACAACAATACGTAATTGTCATCCGACTTACTTAGATTGTGAGTTACCACGGCGGTCGAACTGGGCGGTTCCTTCGTTTCTCGCGTAGTTTGTGCCTCTCCCGATCCAGAAGGCGTACTGCCTAGCTTATCTAGATGGAGAAGCGTGTTGTGCTTTAGCCCACACGTCTTGCAGCTGCTGGATGTGCATTGTCTTGATTGATGAGACTTCGACTTCAGACAGTTGGTGCATAGCCTTCGCTTTTTTATTTCGATAAATCGCTGCCCCGCTGGCAGTTTAGTAAAAGAGGGACAGAAGTAGATTGGATGCTCCCCATTACAATAAGCGCATTTCGAAGTCACCGACGCGACGCAATTTATAGCCGTTTTGCGCGAAGTTGAGGAATTCAATTTGTTGGATGCTATGGATGCGTTTTCCTTATTAATTATTGACTCTAGTGTTTGACACTTTTTCATTAAAAATTCCGCTAGCTGATCTAGACTCGGCAGTTCGTTACCCGACAGCGTATCTTCCCAATCCCGGAAGGTCACGGGATCTAGCTTGTTCGTCAAAATGTGTACAATTAAATCGTTCCAGTTATCGACTGGTCGTTTAAGAGCCTTTAACGCGTTAATATTTTTCGTTGTTACATTGATCAATTGTCGCAATTCGTTATAGTTTTCTTTCTTAATACATGGAATCTCTAATATCGCCTGAATGTGTGTTTGTACTATTACCCGCAGCTTATCGTAACGCTTCTCTAATATATCCCATGCGACTTGAAAGTTCTGTTCGGACAGCTCCAGTGATTCGATCGCCTCGGCTGCGTCGCCAGATAGGGAAGACCGCAAATATTGAAATTTCTCTATGTTCTTCAGCTTCGCATTACTCGTAATTATTGCCTGAAACATTTGCGCAAAAGGAGTCCATTCTTGATATTTTCCGGAGAAGACCGGCAAGTTTAACTTGGGGAGACGTATGTGTGAACTACTGTTTTCTAGCTGTGGCGTATTAACATTCAAGGCTGCTGCGTTGGACGGAGTAATTTGCGTTGAGCCTGCGCTTTCTATTAACCGTTGCATTCGTGCCCTTAAGTCGTAATAGGCCGCCTCAAAGACATCGCGATCATTACTCTCTACGTTTGGTTCTAACGATTCGATTTGCGACTGAATATCATCGTATTCAAGCCAGTAACCCTCTAACTTGTCCTTGCGAAGTTTTAACTGTTCGATAACCTCGTTGGTTATGTCCGAGGTGTCTCTCGGCGTATCGACATACCCCTTTATGCGTGTGCAAGCAGCCTTTAATGTCCTTCGCCTTACCTTCAATGTATCCACATTCATTTTGCTAATTTTATTTGCTTAGACTTACCACGCGTGAATCGATGCAATGTAAGAATATAGTAATAACGCTTTACCTGTGCTATAACCTTAACGCTATTATTATTGCGATTGTAACCATTTGTTTCGTCCGCTGTTGCTAATGCCTCTGTCGTTGAGGTTGGCTCGTCTAAGAAGAAACCGATGTCTCGTCCTTAGGCCCCGTGATAGCCGTCGTGCTCAATAGTTGGGCTCGTCTAAGAAGAAACCGATGTCTCGTCCTTAGGCCCCGTGATAGCCGTCGTGCTCAATGTGATGCAATATGGCGCTGTTGCGCCGAATTTCCTTTGTCCTTGATGGACGGTTGCTCGTTCGTAATGTGCCCGTCTGCGATGTGCGCATCCGAGCCTTGTTCGTAATATGCCCGTCTGCG